AACTGCAGAACTTCACATTCCCCTTGATACCAGCCCCGTCAAAGGCATTTCTGTAGCCTGCTTTTCCTTGCTCCACATAGTCCCTGCTTTCATCTACTACCATTCACTGGTATTTTCTGATTCAAGACTATCCTCAGGGTTCATTTAAAACCAAATTCACCAGCACATAAATCAGAAGGTTGGGTGACCTTGAAGTTCACTTTATCTTTCTAAAAATTCAGTACTTTTTTTTTTTTTTAAGATTTATTTGTTTGAAAGGCAGAATTAGAGAGACAGAGAGAGAGACAGAAAGAGAAAGATCTTCCACCCACAATTCACTCCCCAATGGCCACAACGGCTGGAGCTGCACCAGTCCAAAGCCAGGAGCTTCATCTGGGTCTCCCACATGGGTGCAGGGGCCCAAGTACTTGGGACATCTTCTGCTGCTTTCCCAGGAACATTAACAGGGAACTGGGTCAGAAGTGGAGCAGTGGAAACTCAAATAGGTGCCCATATGGGATGCGGGCATTGGAGGTGGTGGGTTTACTTATTATGCCACAGAGCCAGACCCAAAATTCAGTACTTTTAAAGTTGCACACAAAAAGAGTGAAGTGTTTTCTACCTAGCAGCACTTTATCTTTTATATAGATTTATTTATTTGAAAGGCAGGTTTATAGAGAGGCAGAAGCACTGAGAGAGAGAGAGAGAGAGAGAGAGAGAGAGAGATCGGTCTTCTATCTGCTGGGTCATTCCCCAAATAGCCGCAATAGCCAGAGCTGCACCAATCCGAAGCCAGGAGCCAGGAGCTTCTTCCAGGTCTTCCATGTGGGTGCAGGGGCCCAAGGACTTGGGCCATCTTCTATTGCCTTCCCAGGCCATGGCAGAGAGCTGGATTGGAAGAGGAGCAGCAGCTAGGACTTGAAGCCGTGCCCATATGAGATGTCGGCCCTGCAGGTGGTGGCCTTTCCCGCTATGGCACAGTGCTGGCCCCTAGCATCACTTTAAAGATGTGATTACTTAGAGAATTCCTAGAATAATATATGTAATGGCATATTTGATCCCCAATAAATGTAACCATACATGCTTAATAAGTGATAATCATGACAACTTAGCTCACTAATAACAGGCAGCAGTAACTAAAGTAAATGTCTACACATACCATGGGAAAAACCGTGTTCTCCTTAATAAAAAAATGATGCTTCAATTCAGGTTCTGTCCCTGTGGCCAGTTATCAGCTACATTTCTTGGGAGCCTAAATACACTGACATGTGTCAGTAAATGTGAACACATTACAGAATTAGTAACAAACTATTTCATGGACTCAACAGATATTCATTGAATGTCTACTATGTACACATAGCAATCAATGCTGCATGCTGGGAGTGACAGGGAAATTATAACCACTGTCCTCATGATGGGTGTGGGTGGACAGAATACTGAAAAACAGAAAGACAAGCAAGGTACAGAACTTCAGAAGAGTCACATCAGAATGTACAAGTAAAGGTCTGCTTGTCAAATGTGTGGTACACAAAATTAGGGTTATGCTGTGATCTTTAGGGTCATCAATAGGATCACCAAAGTTACCATTTATGACCCTCTCCCTCCCTCAAGTCTTAATATACCAAGGGTAGGTATTTTCACATACAGCTACATATTTTCATAATTACCATTCAGCAATATATTAGTTGGTATAGGTAACCAAGAGAAGTTCTTGTATAAGAGACATATATAAGAATGTTCAGGGCAGCACACAGAAACAAACTGGAAACAAGTACACTTTGATGGGAGAATGGATAAAGGAAAATTTATAGTATACTCACCCAAAGGAATATTACTCAAGAATGAAAATAAGTGAACTTCAGCAACAAACAACAACATGGATATATCTTAATACCATCATATTGAGTATAAAATTATATCACATAAAACTCCAAATGATATTCTGTTATATCTATGAAAAAGTAAAACCAAACAACACATTGTTTAGGAATATAATATATATATATAATATAGCTAAATTATATACACGTTCTTAAAAAAATAAGAAAAAAACTCAAAATTCAGGAGGGAGACATGCAAATCATGTGAGAGAAGAACACAGAGAGAGAAATAATTTCTGATATTGTTCTAATTCTTGGGTTGGGTAATGAGTTCTAGTTGACCATTTTTGCTCTTAATTTTTAAAATGTAATGATTATATAGATCCAGGAACAGGAAAGCTCATTGAAGTTTTCAAGAACAAATTTTGATTAAATTGAGACATGAAAATAGGGTAGGATATGAATTTAATTACTGAAGTATTTAAATTCAAATGGGGGTAGTATTATAAATTCAGGTGATAATTTTGTATGCTTTCCTCTAGATGCTCTCCTTTTACACTTAAAGACAACTCATCGGGCTGCACACCCACTCACAACATTCTAAACCTATATCCAGCTCAATATCAGAAGGCAAAATCTTTTATAAAATTTAGATCAATCAATCTGTGTATTTGAGGATTTCTGGGGAAATGCCTTAATGTTCTGTAGATGTCCTTTTTGTCCCATGTGACTTAAGCCCCTGATCTGACTCCCACATGCTGCTTTTAATTTCCTGTTTCTTACTTCCTGCTTTAGGCAGATCCTGTTTCTGCTTTGCTTGAGGAATAACCCCAACCCCATTTCTCAGTTCCTACAGTGCTAGCCGGGAACAGGTTTTAACATTAAACAAGACTTTACTAATCTTGGGAATGAAGTTTGAGGGAATATGTATCTTTCAGAGTCTGCAAATCCCTGACCTTCTGCAAGGTCACCCAAAGGTTATCTCTCTTCCTAAACTGCAGCTGGCCACAGTGTGATATGGGTGAGCTTATTTTTTCTCAATGGCAGGGCTGTTGAGTGAGTGCCTCCTTCATGGGGAGCCACAGAGAGCAAAATTCTTTCCCCTCTTGCTAGGCTAAGGTTTATCTCCTTATCTTTTGCCTCAGGGTCTAACTTCTTTTTAGGAAGATAGTACATGGTATAATTCACTTCCTTTAGGGAATGTTTTACTTCTGCCTTTAATGAGTGTGGTTTTACCTAATCCCAAATAATCTCAACTAGAATAGTATTATGGGATAGTGGTTCATTTCCCCAATCTGTATTACTGTTTTAAGATTTATTTCTGCATTTGGAAGAGTTAGAGAGAGAGAGAGAGATGAGCGGATGAGAGAGATGAGAGAGAGAGAGAGAGAGAGAGAGAGAGAGAGAGAGAGAGAATCTTCCATCTGCTGGTTCACTCCCCAAATAGCTGCAACAGCAGGAGCTGGGCTAATCTGAAGCCAGGAGGCAATTTACTCTTGGTCTCCCATGTGGATGCAGGGGTCCAGGCACTTGGGCCATTCTCTGCTGCTTTCCCAGGTGCATTACCAGGGAGCTGGATGGAAAGTGGAGCAGCTGGTATCCATATGGATTGTGGGTGCTGCAGACAGTGCCTTAATCCACTGTGCCACAGTGCAGGCCCTATTACTCAGGTTTAAATAACAAGCAATGGAGAACATTCTCTGGAGAAAATCAGGAAGTTGTTCTTTCATTCCTTCTGCAGTCCTCAATCCCTGCAAGCAATTGCTCAAAGAGTCGCATACACAATTGTTGGAAAATACAACTCAGAGGCAAAAGCATCTAAGATCCTCACATTTCACTCTCAAACTGAATTTTCAGACTTAACAACTGCAAAAAGATCATATATGTACAGTACTAAATGAGTAACTTTTCACCCAGAAACAACTGAATTTATTTTACACCAGGTTCTTGAGGTGGGAACAACTGGGAATCAGGTGGGTTTGAAATGTTTCACCTGTTTGCTAAATCTCTAACAGCCAAGGCTTCTTTAGACAGCTCCTGAGTCTTCTACGAGGCCCACATATGCATTTCTTCATAAAGTCTGATTCTAGCAAAGAACCTCCACAGCTTCAGTACCTGATCAGACGCTATCTGATCACCCTGGCCTGCCCTCAGCTGGCAGGATGGCTTCGCCACAACCACTCTTCCCTCCATATTTCCTCTTAGTAAATTTTCATCTACTAACGTGCCAATCCTATACTCAAAGTTGGGCCTACTTTCTGAAAATGGTGTTGCTGTTGCAGGGTTCCCTATACCTGTTGTGAAAATTCTGAATGAAATCAGCCTTCATGTTTCACCAAGTACCATTTGGTATATTTTAAAAATTTAAAATAGAAGATAAAAGCTCCTCGAAACTCTAAAAATAACACTTCCCTCCTCGACCGTCCCACTTTTCACATCCACACAAAAGTCTAGGCTTCAGTCTGTGCCAGGGCACTTAAATATGTCCAACACAAATGCTGTAAGTAAGGGAGACGGGAAACTTCTGTAGGACGCGCTCAAATGGCTTATCCTTTAAAAAAAGACTTCTGGAGTCCTGAGGCATAATTTCCCAGCATTTTCTCTTCACACAATTATAGGTTTGTCCCGTTGTACAAATGCTGTCGGGTGTCCCTGTTGAATTGGAAACTCCTGGCTCACTCACTCATTCATCATCCCCCTGCCTAAGCAAAGTGCCGGGCCAAGTGTGGGCGCCCAACGACGAATGAACGGATTGTACAGGGCAGGCGAGAAAAGGGTTAGTGTTTTCGAGATGAAACGAGGAGAATTACTAGGGTCACGCAACAAATCCCACCCGAACGTGCAAAGACGCCCAAATTCAGCCGGCTGCGGAGTCTAGCCCCGCCCACGGGCGAGACACGGGAAATACACGCTTTCAGGAAAGCCGGAAGTGCCTGGTCACGCCCTGCGCATGCGGCCTTCCGTTCCGCTCACAGTCCTACACCCGTTCATCCAGTGAGAGCGCCGGGACACCTCTGCCGGCCCGAGCCGCCCACCGCTGCGCATGCGTCTCTGGAGTGGCCTGCTCGCAAAGAGGCGGAGCGAAAGGACGGATTTTTTTTTTTTTTAATCTTGCTCCCGCCCTTCTCCTTCCCCCACCTGCCACGTACTGGGCCCAAGCTCTCGCTAGGCTTGTTGGGTCTGTGCGATTGGCCGGGGCCCGCGCGAGCCTGCGAGCGAAGTGCGGCGGCCGCGGAGGGCGACGGACCGGGCCGTGACCGCAGCCTCCCCCACGAGCCTTCCCTCGCCCCGGCCGGGTCAGCGCAGACCCACGGAGAGGCGGCGGCGGCGGCGGCGGCGGCCTCGGCAAGCTGGTACGGCCGCTGGAGTCCGGGGCGCGGTCTCCCTCCGAGGAGGCCCGGAGACTAGGAGCCGCGGGGAGGCCTCGCTCTAACCTGCCGGCGCGGGGCGGGTGCGGCCTGAGGGGCCGAGGCCGGGGACCCCACGGGGAGGGGAGGAGGTAGGCCGGGCAGGGCCTTGCGTGGAGGAGGGGAGGCTGCAGAGGGGGAGGGGAGAGTGCTGACGGTCGGTCCCGGTTGCACAATCCCAGCTGGGGGGCTTTGGGGCCAACAAGTGCTCTGGTGCCGGTTCCGTCTGCCTCCAAAGGGTCGGGTTGCCCGAGAGAGCAGAGGCGCTTTGGGAGGCCTGCGGTCGCCGGCATTTAACCCCGAGAGGGGCTTGCAAGGGTAGCGATTGCTAAGTGGCTGCTCTGGGAATACTTTATTGGGGGGGGGGAGTCGCTTGAGAGGACCCTGGTTCCTTGACTGTGTCAGTGCTTAATCATGCGCCGTCTGGAGGCCCAGCCCAGTTTTAGAGAGGACGATTGCTAACTTTGGAGTTTGCTGAGCCCTGTCCCTGTACTAAGTGTTGTAGGTGCCGGATCCCAGTTAGTCATCGCAAGGACCCATCCAAATCTAGACGCTGGTAGGATATCTCATTTTGCCCATGAGAAATCAGGCCCTCGAAACTTCATGTCCCATTAGCCAGTGTCAAGAGTCTTGACGTCCCTGGTGTAGAATGTAGGCAGGCTTTCAGACCCACTGCGTTCTTTGGAACAATGAAGGGCCGATACGGTGTAGGAGTTCTTGAAGGAAACTCCTACCCTAAGGAGGTATCTCAGGCAGCGCCTCTGAATTTGGAGCTGGGCTTAATTCTCAGGGTCACTAGAAGCAGAGGTTTGGTCACTGAAGGTAGATGCTGGTTGAGGAGGCAGGTTTTTTCTGATGTGACCTTGGGCATGTCAGCTTATCCCCGTTGCTGAGAAAAGTGTACCTGTTGGAGAGTTAACACAGTGGCCAGGTCATTTCTGGACAGGGGGAGGGGGGTGGGGTTAAGATGGAAGAAGAAAATGGAAGGATCTCACTAGCAGCTCTGGGAAGTAGCAGTGTAGACCTTGTTAGGGTAAAAGAGAACCAGAATCCTGCCATTCTATAAAGAAATGGGGTGAGATTTCCTCTCAAAGGGAAAATTTTTGTTTTGTGACACTAATGTGTTTGTCTTAAGGTGATGACTACAGACTTCCTTGAGAAGGAAGCTTGGTTCTTTTTTAAAAAATATTTATTTATTTGAAGGCAGAGTTATAGAGGCAGAGAGAGAAAGAGGCAGAAAGAGAAAGAGAGGTCTTCCATCCCCTGGTTCACTTCCCAGGTGGCCGCTCCTGCCATAGCTGCACCAATCCAAAGCCAGGACTTCTTAAGGGTCTCTCACACAGGTGCAGGAGTCAAAGCACTTGGGCCGCCTTCTGTTTTCCCAGGGCATAGCAGAGAGCTGGATCAGAAGTGGAGTAGCCAGGACTTGGACCGGCGCCCATATGAGATGCCAGCACTGCAGGCGGTGGCTTTACCCGCTATGCCACAGCACTGGCCCCGGAAGCTTAGTTCTTGGCTGCAGGGTGTTTACAATCAATGGGAAGCATTGAAAGTGAATTTACAGGCAAACATGGTGGTTGGAAACTATACACAACTTAAAAGTTTGTAGATCTATTGGAACTGAGCAACACCCTCCCCCATCGAAAGGGCATACTGTCAATTATGTTTTGTGTTGGAATTTACTCTTAATAAGTAGTGTAGGGACCAGAGCTGTGGCATAGTGGGTAAAGCTGCCACCTGCAGTGCCGGCATCCCTTATCGGTGCCAGTTTGTGTCCTGGCCACTCCACTTCTGATCCAGCTCTGCTATTGCCTGGCACAGCTCTGGCTATTGTGGCCAATTGGGGAGTGAATCAGCAGATGAAAGATTGATTTTTCTCTCTCCTCTCTCTCTCTCTCTTTCTTTCTGCCTCTCCTTTTGTGTAACTCTGACTTTTAAATAAATAAATTAAAAAAAAGTAGTGTAGCTGATGTGCAGAGTCAATTTTTAAGATTTGATTTTTACTTATTTGAAAGGGGGGAGTCTTCTGCAAAGACGAGGTACTGAAGTGAAAGTCTGACTTGAGAACTGACCTGCTATTACAGCCTACCAATCCCTTTATCAGAACTTTGTTATGCCTCATTTTTTTGTGCAGGGAACAAAAACAGTTCTTTAAATTCCTTTCGTATGTCAGGCTGTGTTCTAGGTGCTGCTGGGAATAGGTAATACCATCTTACACTGGTCCTTTTAGGCATTGTTGCTGGTTTATACGTTCTGTAGGTAAGAGAAGGCAACAAATACATTTATTTATTGAAAGGACTTTATCATGGTCTCAGGCTGCCAATGCAGACAAGATGGGATATTTGCCGTCTTGTTGAAGTAACTATAGAGCTCAGCTCATAGTAGATATTCAGCACGTTTTCTCCTGAATGTGGCGGTCAGGTTTGACTCATAGGTTAAGAGGTAGTTCATAGAGGTTTTAGTTTAATTACAATCATCATGAGTAATCCACTGTGAGAATTGGCCGATAAAAAGGCTGACTTTCTCTTTTGCATTAAGATAAATGTGGCATCTATCCAGATAGTGGAGCAGAGTCTATTGTATTCTGAATTGACTTTAGAGTGATATTTTTAATGTCCTGCTTCATTAAAGATTTATTAATAAGATGTAATCTGTCTAGAGGGCGGTGGGGGAGTCTAGAGACGTTCATGTAAGGCAGGGTTGGGGAACCTTTTTTCTGCCAAGGGCCATTTGGATATTTATAACATCATTTGCAGGCCATACAGAATTATTCACCTAAAAATTAACCTGTTACAGATTTACTAAGTTTCGAGTCCCACCTGCAGCTGCCTTCTTGGCAGGGCCAGACCAAATGATTTCGTTGCCCTTATGCTGCCTGTGGGCCAGCTGTTCCCCACCCCTAATTTAAGGAATAGTTAGATCAAAAGACATGGGACGTTTAAATACTAAAACATTTATATTGAATATTCATGAGATAATTTAGGATTCATGGAAACTTTTTTCAACTATTGGAAGAGTTGATTGGTTGGAAAGCAGCTTTCATACATAAACACACCAAGGACATGGGAATGGTTGCAAAGAGGTTTGTTGGTGTTAATGAAATGATACATTTAAGAGGAGGAAACAAAATGGTGCCAGTAGTAAAGCATGACATTGGGAGTAGAATGGAGCCCTTTAGAGGCGGTTGTCACCTTAAACAGCCTTGAGAGATCATTTACTTTGGGGGTGGGGGAGGAGTTGTGTTAAGGAAATGCTCAGTGATTATAGATAACACATCAGGAACATCTTGGCCTTGAGAAGAGATATTAGCCTTTAGTAATCATTTAAATTACAAGAGAACTTGAATATAAGATTATAAAATAATTTCAGATGATTACACTGGATAACCCCAAAATAAGATTAAAGCCCAAAAGGGAAAATCTCTGTGGCAAATTATTATTTAGTGGCTAATTCTCTGATACTGTCTTTTGTCTTTAAAGTATGCAGTCTGATCATAAACACTCACTCTATAAGGTAGGGTTATGGACTGTGTAGCACCGTAGCTGGCAGTCTCATTAGAAAGGGAAGGGTGTGTGTTTGGCACAGCAGTTAAGATGCCACTTAGGAGACTCGCATCCTATATCAGAGTTCCTGGGCTTGCATCCCACCTCTGCGTCTGATCCGGCTTCCAGATATTGTATATCCTGTAAGGCAGCAGGTAATGGCCTCAAGTTCTTGGATCCTTGCCACCTAATGTGGGGACCTGGGTTGTGTTCTAGCTCCTGGCTTCAGCCTGGCCCAGCCCCATCTACTGTGGGCATTTGGTGGAGTGAACCAGCAGATGGGAGTTAACTATCTTGTTTTTCTCTCTGCCTTTCAAAAGAATAAAAATAAATAAAAAGAAAGCTTAGCAGGTATCACTGATTTGTTCTTTCTCAAAATACTTAAGAGATCTTTCTTATATTGGAAAATTTGAGGCTCTGTTGTAGTGTTCACTTTTTTGTGGGTTAACATTTAGATATTTAAGTTAATAGAAGTTTGAAGCTAATTGTTTCTCTCTTTAAGAATTGTGGGATGATTATCATGTGTTGGGCACTGTTTGCTTCCTACCTTTGAGTAGAAAGAACAGTGAAAATTAATAAATTTTTAATTTCTGATAGTACTGCTAAGTGCTTGGAACAAAACGAAACCAAGATGGTAAGAGGAGCCTTTAAAAAATATTTGAAGACAGATGGATAACTCCTGTCTGCTAGTTCACTTTCCAGATGTCTGCATCTTCTGGGGATGGACCAGACTGAAGAGCTGGAAACCCAATCCAGGTCTCCCATGTGGGTTACAGGGACACAGCCACTTGAGCCATCACTTGCTACTGCCCAGAGTGCACATTAGCAGGAAACTGGAATCAGGAATGGAACTTGGACTTGAACCCAGGCACTCTGATATGGGAAGGTTGACATTCAATTGCTAGACCAAATGCCTGCCCTGGGGGATTCATTTTATTTTTAAATGTTTTTTTTATTTTAAATTTAAAATTTTTTTTATAAAGAGAGAGAATGATCTTCCATTTGCTCGTTTAGTCACCAAATGTCTGTATCGCTGGTGCTGGTCCAGGCCAAAGCAAGGAGCTGGAAACTTAGTCCTTGTCTCTTCTTGTGGGTGGCAGGGACTCAAGTACTTGAACCATCATCTGCCTCTGAGGCTCATTAGTGGGAAGCTTGATTAGAAGCAGAGTAGCAGGGCTTGAGCCAGGTACTCCAATATGGGACACAGGTATCCTAAGCAGCAATTTAACACATGTCGTGCGTGCCCTGTTTTAAATTAGATGGTTAGGGAAGACTTCTGAGAAATTGACATTTGATCAGGAACATGATTCATTTGAGTTGTATGAAAAGGATCAAGGCATGCGGAGTAGGAAGTGTATAGCTTCAAGTTGAGAAAAGAGCTTGAAGTATGAATGTGGTGGGGATGAGTAGTAGGGCCAGGTAGGAAGTGAGGAATATATTGGAAGGTTTTGAGCTGAGCAACATTAGATTTTAACAGGATAAATAACATGATAAATCTGATGTGCTAAGAATAGGTTGTGAAAGTAGGCAAAGATAAAAAGCAGGCAGACCAGTTAGAAGTCTTTTGTAATCATTTAGGTAGGTGGTGATAGTGACTTGGATCAGCTTGATAGTGATTGAGGTGGTTGGGTTCTGGAGATAGCTTAAAGCTAAGTTTGAAGGTCAAGGATGTGAGAAAAAGAGAGGAACCGTGTGTGTGTGTGTGTGTGTGTGTGTGTGTTTCTTTTTGGTCTTGAACAACTGGAAGAAAGGACTTGTCACCAAATGAATTAGGGAAGACTTTGGGAGATGCAGTTTTAGTAGAAGATCAGGAACTTGTTTGTAGACATGTTAGAAATCTGCATGGTAATGTGAAGTTAGCAGTTAAACATGTAGATAAGATAGTAGTAGATATAAAATACATAATAAAGTTGCCTCTAGACCATTTTAACATGAAGATGGTCATGAGCAATGAGTCTCTTTAAAGAGCCAGCATTTCTTAGATTCCAACAATAAATGTGCTTTCAGATTTTAAGATGTTTTATTGTTTTATTAAATAAGAGTCTTTTTATCAGTTTTTCTCTAGACTAATATAAATAGAACATCCTGGAATCCACCATGAATGGACAGTTGGACCTAAGCGGAAAGCTAATCATCAAAGCTCAACTTGGGGAGGATATTCGACGAATTCCCATTCATAATGAAGATATTACTTATGATGAATTAGTGCTAATGATGCAACGAGTTTTCCGAGGAAAACTTCTGAGTAATGATGAAGTTACAATAAAGTATAAAGATGAAGGTAAAGTATTTTTAAACCTGGTTTGTAAGAGTTAACACATAGTATGTGTTTTTTTTTTTTTTTTTTTTTTTTTTTTTGCCTATAGTCATTGGACTCTGTCTTCCCCCTTCATGGTATTTGAGTGGCCCCCTTCTTTTATTTATTTAATGGGATGTTCAGATCATTAGTATAATTATTTATAAGTTAATATACTTTTTTACAAGTATTTTTCCCTTTGTTTACCCATACTCTTCTGGCTTCCATTTTGCTTTTTTTTTCTTAAGTAAAATATTTATATAAAGGGGATAGATTTATCTATTTTATATATGCAGTTTTTTTTTTTTTTTTTTTTTTTTTTTTTTTGACAGGCAGAGTGGACAGTGAGAGAGAGACAGAGAGAAAGCTCTTCCTTTGCCGTTGGTTCACCCTCCAATGGCCGCCGCTGCAGCCGGCGCACCGCGCTGATCCTGGCAGGAGCCAGGAGCCAGGTGCTTTTCCTGGTCTCCCATGGGGTGCAGGGCCCAAGCACCTGGGCCATCCTCCACTGCACTCCCTGGCCATAGCAGAGAGCTGGCCTGGAAGAGGGGCAACCGGGACAGAATCCGGCGCCCCAACCGGGACTAGAACCCGGTGTGCCGGCGCCGCAAGGTGGAGGATTAGCCTATTGAGCCACGGCGCCGGCTTATATATGCAGTTTTAAGAGCATAATGATACCTCCCATCCTACCCTCTTTTCCTCCCTTGCTATGACTCTCTCCTTCTTTGTTTTTTCCTTTTAATTTTTGCAGTGACATGCTTTCAATTTACTTTATTTATTTATTTATTTTTGACAGGAAGAGTGGACAGTGAGAGAGAGAGAGACAGAGAGAAAGGTCTTCCTTTGCCGTTGGTTCACCCTCCAATGGCCGCCGCAGCCTACGCGCTGTGGCCGGCGTACTGTGCTGATCCGATGGCAGGAGCCAGGTACTTATCCTGGTCTCCCATGGGGTGCAGGGCCCAAGGACTTGGGCCATCCTCCACTGCACTCCCTGGCCACAGCAGAGAGCTGGCCTGGAAGAGAGGCAACCGGGACAGAATCCAGTGCCCCGACCGGGACTAGAACCCGGTGTGCCGGCGCCGCAAGGCGGAGGATTAGCCTAGTGAGCCGTGAAGCCGGCCTTCAATTTACTTTATAATAACAAGCTTAATCCTCCACTAAATAAATAATTCAACAAGTAGTAAGGAGAAAAACACTGTTTCTTAGGAATATAGACAGGAGCTACAAACAATCACCAAATCTCAAAATGTCATTTTCACTTATATACATTACATTCTTTTTGTCCTCTATAAGTTAACACAAATCAGAGAAAATAAATGATATTTGTCTTTGGGACTAGGTTATTTCACTGAGTATAATGGTCTCCAGTTACATCCATTTTATTGTGAAAGGCAAGATTTTATCCTTTTCTTGGCTGAGTAGTAGTCCCTCGTGTATATATATCACATTTCCATGTGTATTTCCCAGAGTGAAAGGGATAGCAGTATATATTGAATGAAAAAAGATTTCATAGTCAACTAATTAGAGAAAAGCTAGTTTATCCAAAGACAAATGTGTTTGTTGCAGGAATTTTTCAGAGTATATAATGTGCTGATGTATATTATAATTTTATAGTGTGAAATGTTCCCAGGATCATTTGACCTTCAAAGTTTTTATGAAGATAGATTTTGTATGACAAATGTTTCATCAGTCACACAGTAGAATTACAGCACTATTTCATATCTATATCTATATCTATATCTATATCTATATATATTTAGATTTATTTATTTGAAAGTCAGGGTTAGAAGGGGAGTCAGAGAGATCTTCCATCTACTGGTTTACTCCACAGATGGCTGTAATGGCCAGGGCTGGGCAAGGCTGAAGCAAGGAACTGGTAGCTTCATGGAGGTCTCCCAGATAGGTGGTAGGGGCCCAAACACATGGGCTATCTTCCGAAGTATCAGGGAGCTGGATTCAAATTAGAGCAGCCAGGACATGAAATGGTTCCCATATGGAATGTGTGCATCGCAGGCAATGGCTCTGACGTTCTGTGTCACAACACCAGCCCCTTCCTATTTTTTAATCTGCCTTCTTTGTTAACATCTCTACTGAAATTTGTTCTTTAGGCAATTACCAGTATCTTTATTACTTTACAGTCTATTTTAGCTTTTTTTCCCCCTTAAATGTTTATTTTTTATTTGAAAGGCAGTTAGAGAGAGAGGGAGAGAGAGATCTTACACTTCTGGTTCATTCTTCAAATGGCCATAAAAGCCAGGGCTGGGGCAGAGCTGAGTCAAACCGAAGCCAGGAGCTTCTTCCAGGTCTCCTATGTGGCAGGGACCCAAGCACTTGGGCTATTCTCTACTGCTTTTTTCAGGTGCATTAGCAGGGAGCTGGATTGGAAGTGGAGCAGCTAGAACTCAAACTGGTGCCCATATAGGATGCTGGCACTGCAGGCGGCAGCTTAACCCACTAAGCCACAGCATGATCACCAGATTTGATGTTGCTGTTCACACTATCCTTTTTCAAATACTCTGATCTCTTAATATCTCTGATACTGTGTTTATCTTGGTTTTCTTCTTATCACTAATAACTTCTCTGTCTCTCTGAATGGTGCTTTAAAGTAATGTTAACTGGGTCTGGTGGCACAGCCAGTTAAGCTGCTGTTTGTGTCACCAGCATCCCATATTGGAATGTTGGTTTGAGTCCCAACTGCTCTGCTTCCCTATCTAGTATATTCCTGCTACTGTGCCTGGGAAAGCAGTGGAAGATGTCCCAAGTGCTTCGACCTGCCAGCCTACATGGGAGACCCAAATGGAATCTCAGACTCCTGACTTCAGCCTGACCCATTCTGGGCTGTTGTGGCCATTTGTGGAATGAATCAGCTTACTGGAAGATCTCTTTATCTCTCTTTATCTCACTCTCTGCCTTTCACTTAAAATCTATAAAAAGAAGTAATGTCAGCTGCTATAATAGAATTCTTAAAATTTCAATAATTTAACACTCGAGGTCATTTAGGGACCCAGGCTGACAGAAGCTATGTTCAACACATTGGGGATTGACACCTATCAGGCAGATGGATAAAGATAAGAGTGTGAAGTGATTTTACTTTCAAGGCCTTGAGGTGATGTTGTCATTTCTGTCCACTCACATTGGCTGGAAACCAGTCAATCATGTGGGTTTGCTGAGATGCAAATGGGTTGGAAAATGTCATTCCTGGCTGGGCAGCCACTTTATACAACTTCCATTGTGGAAAGGGAGAGTGAATCACTAGTAATGAACTAAGCAGGTCATCTAGTAACAGGTGTATTCTCCTTTTTGTGATATACGATAGAAGAGTACCCCAAACTGTAATTTTTGAGTCAACTCATGTTAAGGAAAAGGAAAGTGATTTTTTTTTCTGGTTCTTTTCCATGGTACTCTTACCTACTTAAAAGACATTGATTTTCACCTTTGTCTACCAAATGTGTGCCTTAATTTGATCAAGTTGTTCTCTCCCTACCCCTCTGCCTTTCTCCCTTCCACTCTCTGTAACTCTGACTTTCAGATAAATAAATACGTCTTTAAAAAAAATAAATGGGTGCAGCGGAGCATCTGGAGCAGCTTGTTGGCCTCCCCAGGACAAAACTCTTCTTTACCGAACTCTGTCTATAAAGAAAACCCTGCAGAGACCCAAGGCCAACTCCATGTCTTGGCTTCTTTTCTGCTTTTACTCTGACTCTCTCAGGAATCTCTCAGAAAGAGGATCTATAGGAAAGCTTTGAAAGCTATCTTTGAAAGCTTTTTAAACATGTAGTTGATATGGTTATTATAGTATTCTTTTTAAATGTGCTCTAGTTTGTGTATATATACATATTTTTCTGGGAGAGACTTGATAATTTTCATCTTATTATCAAAATGGTCAGTGACCTGAAAAGCTCTATTGTCTACTTGTTAAAGCAGTTCTGCAAAAATTTGTTTTTTGCAATTCCTTCAATTATTTTTGTGTGTGACTTTATTTTCATTTCTGTTGATACATTTTATTGTATTCTGAGTTAAGATTTGAAGCTTGGACATCTTTATTTTACTTTTGATAAATGTATTTACATTTTTTGAAATTGAAATATTTCAGTCTAAACTAATAGTTTGCTTTGTTGCTGCTATGAATCTTTTTCTAGTGACTAAGAATTCATATACTTAGTGCATTAACCTTAGCTGTGGGTTTTCACATGAAGATATGATAAATACCTTGCTGTAAGAGTAATAAACAATATTGGTTTAGTATTGTTTGAACAAATATGATCCTTTAATGTTTGTTTAAGTTTGTTGTAGGGGATTCTAATTTATTATTCTAATTATCCAAAATTTTGATTTTGGATGTTAATTTTACATATGTCCTAGTTTACTCAATTATATTTTTTTTTAATTTCAGATGGAGATCTTATAACAATTTTTGATAGTTCTGACCTTTCCTTTGCAATTCAGTGTAGTAGGATACTGAAACTGACATTGTTTGGTGAGTGATAAACTTCTGATAACTTTACTATTCACTGCATTTTATTAAAGACTTTTTGGGTTTTTCCTTTTAATGACTTAGAATTAAGCGATAAGTTGTCCAAAAGGTGCTGAAATTAATTTGCTTTCAGGTAGTTTAAAATTACTTAAGGTTTTTGGCTATGTGTGTTTTAAAATATGATACAAATTTTATTAACAGAATATGTTAAAGTTTGGTTTTTGAAGTCAGATATTACTTAGCTATCTCTAATAGAGAATTACAGCTTTAATTTTGCGCTGTCAGAATTGTGATTTGTTAAGATACTTGTATTTTTGAAAGATTAATAGAAAACAGACATGTCTGAAATTCTATATTTGCTTTATTACACTAAATAGTATATATAGCAATTTTATTGATTATCAAGGCTAAAAATAATATCAGGGTTAAAACTACCTCTGAGTTTGCTAAGCATTTATAAATATCTTCCTTTATAATCTAGTATGATGTTATTTACTCTCAGGACTTAACATAAACCTGTTACTTAAGACACTATTTTTCAAGGAGTACTTAAGGATTAGAGAAAGGTGTGATATAAATAAATAAAAGACTAATTTTAATTGTTTAGCTTATGTTTTCTTGCAGATCTTATTAGATTTGTAAGACAGAACACTTAAGGAACAAAATAGAAATTATTACAGAGTTTGAAGTGGTAGAGCGATTATCTAAAAATAAAATCTTGCTTTTTCTTTCTTGTGCATGTTTTATTTATTTTTAATTATTTATTTGAAAGGCAGAGTTTGAGATGGAGATATCATCCATCCACTGGTTCGTTCACCAGATGATCACAATGGCTGAGGCTGAGCCAGGCTAAAGCCTGGAACATAGAGTTTCAGGATCCTAGAGCTTCATTCTGGTCTCCCATGTGGGTATAGGCGCTAAAGCACTTGGGCCATCCTTCACTCCTTCCCAGGCACATTAGTAGGGAGCTGGATTGGAATTGGAGCAGTTGGGACTTGAACCAGCCCCCATGTGGGATACTGGCATCTCAGGTGATGGCTTAACTTGCTGCATCATGGCACCAGCCCCTTTTTATTTTATTTTATTAAATTTGTGAACCTTATATTTCATAAAATATTGTAGTCCACTGATTTAATTTTATCTGTTTCATCTACAGCTAGGAAGGATGACTGAATCATTTTAAAATGTTAATAACAAAATTGTTTTAAGAATTCTTTTTTTAAGATTTATTTATTTTAGTTGAAAATCATAGTTACACAGAGAGAGGAGAGGTGGGGGGTGGGGGGAGAGGGAGAGAGGTGTCTTCCATTTGCTGGTTCACTCCCCAGATGGCTGCAACAGCTGGAGCTGTGCCGATCCAAAACCAGGAGTCAGGAGCTTCTTCCTGGTTTCCCACGTGGGTGCAGGGACCCAAGGAGTTGGGCCATCTTCTGCTGCTTTACCAGGCCATAGCAGAGACCTGGGCCGGAAGTGGAACAGCCGGGTCTTGAACCAGCTCCCATATGGGATGCCAGCACTGCAGGCGGAGGCTTTACCTGCTAGCCATAGTGCTGGCCCCGTATTCTTAAAACATCTTTTACAGTATTGATTATAAAATAGTTGTTGGCTAGGTGAAAGATAGATTGGATAATCTGAAAACTCTCCCTTAAAGAACCCTGAGGACATGCTAAATAAACTATCACAAATACATTTTTTTGGATTATATAATGTGGCTTACCCAGGAAAGTCAAGGACCAAAAAATAGATGGAACTAAAAACCAAGGCCAAAAGTACCTAAAACTCAGATGTAGGTGATCTTAGTGGTAATGGTATATTTTGTTTGCATAATCTAAGAACTTGCCATTTGACATTTGTGGGCTCATCCTGTGAGGCCCATACTGTTGGGATGGTGGGATGATAGTATTCTTCAACAAGAAGCACTGGAGACAGTTTCGGTGAACATGTCTGTTTATTAGCAGTTAGGCACAAGCTTTATGGGGCAGGCAAAGGGCAGTAGCTAGCTCAGGGTAGCAACACTAATTCTATAGGATAAAGCCTATACTGGAGCCTCTGTGCTTCTCCAGTCAGCTTGAAGGTCACATAGTCCATGTAGCCTTCCAGGTGGTCTTTTGGGTCTGGGCCACACCCGGGAGCTGTTTACCTAGTTGATAGTTACAAGGCCCCTCAACTGGAGGTGGGGGTGGGGGAAATGTGGCTGGGACCCCTGTGCCTGCCATTAGGTCATATGTGGGGGTCTCTGTGCTGAGCCCTGGACCAGGGTTTTTCCCAGGGGCCATTGTGTGCCAGGTCTTCTTAACCTCCTGCATGGTCTAGGCAGGCAGTCTCCCAGCCAGGCACAGGATCACCCTGAGTCACAACATGAATGGACTATATTCTGAAAAGACTATTGTAGAAAGCAAATTTCTCCCATGACACAGGAAAAATCAAGAAAACGATTCTTACACCATGGCTTGTCAGAGGTTTGGAAGTCTTCTTTGAGGATGTAAAACCATGATCTTACATGGGTTGATTTTAAATTTAAGCAATTGAAATATTTGGGGAACTTTCAAGCCCAAATATCACTATCAAAAAATAGCAGAAGCAGTGTAAAAATCTCTGGAGAGGTGTATTCTCGATTCAGGTCACATAGATTGTTCACTGACGAAATCTTTTGATGAACTTGAAGCTCAAAACTGTAAAACACATAGAATAGTTCATGTAAGCAAGAAATAAGGCACAATTAGCAGGATTGAGATGTATAAGAACTTCAGTTAATAGAAGTGATAGACTATAAAATGTGTCAATAGTTGATAAAGACACAGAGGGAATAAGAATACAAGGACATGGCAGTATAAAAATAGGTTTTAGAGAAAGAACTTAAGGTAACTTAGAAATGAAAAATCTGATTGGAATTAAATACTAAGTAGATAGGTTAAGCAGCACCTGGCTCTGCTCTTGATTCCAATTTTCTGCTAACATGCACCCTGGGAGGCAGCACATGAAGGCCGGAGTTGATGGGTTCCTGCCACCAGTATGGGAGACCTGGATTGACTTCCTGGCTCTCAGCTTCTACCTGGTCGAGCACCTGTCTGTCCCTGGCATTTGGGAAGTGAACCAGTGAATAGGAACTCTCTGTTCTTAGGTCTGTCTTTTCTCTGCCTTTTTAAATAAATATATAAAATAAGAAAAAGTAGATTTGTGACAGGTAAAAACAGAATTAGAAAAGGAAGTCCAAAGGAATTAGAGAATAAAGCAAAAAAAAAAAAAAAAAAAAAAAAGAAAAGCCGAGAATAATCGAGAATAATAAAGTCCAATATGTTTCTATAAAGAATTTGAAGAAGGAAAGGAGAGTGGAGTAGAAATATATTCAAAGGTCGTGGTTAAAGGCAAGAATTACAGAAGATATACATCCTCAGATTGAGGAGACACAGTTGTGAGCAGGATAAGTAAAAATAAATCTCCACAAGACATACTGCCACAAGACTGGAAAATATATAAAACAGATTATTTTAAAAGTAGCTAGAGAGGGTAGGACTTCTATCTGTGAAGCAGTTAATCTCTTAGTAGACTTCACGGTAATGGTAAAAGCTAGAAGGTAGTAGAATCATTCATTCAAATGGTTAAGAAAAATAACTAGAAAAGTAGTATATTGTAGACCAACTAAAACTAAGGAATTAAGGGGAAATAACATTTTGAACAAAAAAAATTTACCACTCGCTGGTTCTTATTAGAATTTTTGTTTTTTACCAAGAAGAAAATCAAGTCCTGAAAGTGGTGAAAGATGCAAGAAGCAATTGTGACAAATAAATTGGGTAACATGTAGATTTAAAAGGGCATGTATTGTAAAAAACAGTATATTGGGGAATAGGAAAAGTTGGATCAAAAATACTGAGCCATAATTATATGTAAAACAGGATGGGACGATAGGAATCAAGTATTTTAAGGATTTGTTTTTGAGCAAGATTGCAATTAATTTTAGAATTTTTAAATTAAAGGTTGCTATAACATTAGAAATAGCTGGTAGAGAGGGAAACAAGGAAAACAGGGGACCCATTCCTTAACTAGAAAATGGGAGGGGCCAGTGCTGTGGCACAGCAGGTTAAGGCCCTGACCTGAAGCACCAGCATCCCCTTTGGGCGTCAGTTCTAGTCCCAGCTGCTCCTCTTCTGATCCAATTCTCTGCTGTGGCCTGGGATAGCAGTAGAAGATGGCCCAAGTCCTTGTGCCCCTGTACCCACGTGGGTGGACCCAGAGGAAGCTCTTGACTCCTGGCTTCAGATTGGCACAGCTCTGGCCGTTGCAGCCATCTTGGGAGTGAACCAGCGGATGGAAGACCTCTCTGTCTCTGTCTCTACCTCTCTCTGTAACTCCGTCTTTCAAATTAATAAAAATAAATCTTTAAAAAAAAATGGGAAAGGACGAAAGGAGAGGGAAAGCTTGATAAACAGCACAAAATACTGATTGCCATAAGCAGAAACTGAATACATACACCATTTAAAAGACCGAATTTCTTACTGAAGGTAAAAATCAAGTTACATGCTGGTTTTAAGAGATACACTAGAGGCCGGCGCCGCGGCTCACTAGGCTAATCCTCCGCCTAGCGGCGCCGGCACACCGGGTTCTAGTCCCGGTCGGGGCTCCGGATTCTGTCCCGGTTGCCCCTCTTCCAGGCCAGCCCTCTGCTGTGGCCAGGGAGTGCAGTGGAGGACGGCCCAGGTGCTTGGGTCCTGCACCCCATGGGAGACCAGGAAAAGCACCTGGCTCCTGGCTCCTGCCATCGGATCAGCGCGGTGCGCCGGCCGCAGCGCGCTGGCCGCAGCGGCCATTGGAGGGTGAACCAACGGCAAAAAGGAAGACCTTTCTCTCTGTCTCTCTCTCTCTCACTGTCCACTCTGCCTGTCAAAAAATAAAAAAATAAAAAAAAATAAAAAAAAAGAGATACACTAGAAGATTATTATGCAGAATTTGAAGGCAAAGAGCTAGAAAAAAAGTTAACTGTGTAACAAGTTTTCTGTGATATGTCA